TATATTCTTTGTGAAATTTGTCCAGACAGCCGTCCAGGTAGATCGCACCATTCCTGCAACAGTTGGATAGGATAAGCGGCAAGTTATTCAGATATTTTCATTCTAACGGCTTCATACAGAGAGTAGAAGCTTACTTGAGTGTCTTAGCGGATGTGGTAATGTTGTCGAGGGTGACAAGGTCTTTGTCTAACTGAGCTAATTCGTCGGAAAGGACCTTTGCGGCGCCCTCGCCCTCATTTCCGAGGCGCTTTTGCATCTGCTGCAACTCTCGCTTCACCTGCAAAACAGTCAGCACACAATTTATCAGAACAAGTGACTTATAATACCTATCTTCTAAGGGGCACTCATGAATGAAACTGACGGATCAGCAAACTAAATGCAAAATATGCTTTCAGACGCTAAAACGATTTCCATCAAACTATCCTTAGTAGAAACATACGTAATAGTTGGTGAAAAGTATGATCAATTCACGCCTAACAAAGAAATTCTGGCAAAGCATGTCAGGCACGTCACGGCAAAGCAAATGGAGGTTCAGTACCTCCGCATTTCGGAATTCGAACAAGCATAAAAGTTTTGAAGATGCCAGTGCTTTGGTCTGCAGTTTAAATACTTCGCTGGGACTTAAACGCTACGACATAACACAGAGAGCATTCCTGTACATATTCAACACAAAGCGTCTCGTCTTCGGTGGTTGCACAGGGATCATATGCTAGTGATATTGACGGTACCAAATGTCGTCAGCCCGCAGTGTCGAGATTCATCCAATACCGCAAAAATGCAACTCTCGAAATGCCAGCTTACCACACAGAATATAAAGCACGTTTTGATCTTCAAACAATGGATGCAACACATCAAATAACTAACACCAGCATCCGCAAACTCCACAAGTCCGTCCATTTTGGACGCCGAGGCGCCATTGAGTGAAATTGAGCGTCCCATCCACATATAGGTCAATTTCCACCAACAAATTCTTTGCTGACGAACATTCCTTCGCATCAATGATCCCAACAAGCATCAATCTGTGTCCATAAGTGTATCGTGAGGCTACGAGAAGAAAGCATACGCTCATCCTGTCAACATTACACCTTACCTATTGATTGTTGCCACTCCCCCTTCTCCCCACACCCACCTCCCCCCGAATCCCAAATTTCAAGTGAACGCGCACCACATTGGACAGCCTAATGCTCCAAGCCTAACGCAAATCCCAATCCAAACCATCCTATATCTAGAGTATGCATCTCAGACTCGAGCAAGGACTTAAGGTCACGCCATAGTGACTAAAAATGACGCCCATCAGAAAACCTAACTGGCGCAAGCATAAGAAGTTGCTAAGGTGTTGGGAAGAAGAGAAATAATAATCAATTGCAGTTAAGTATTTTAAGGAACGGTTCCTATTTACTCAAACTGCAGCACTAGCGACAGAGAAGTTAGGAATAACATTCACAGGAGGGGTGTTGAACAGTCCTACCTGGTGCCGCGCATTGGTGCCAGTGAGGTCAACAATGAGGCGGAGCTTGTGTGAGGCGTAAGTGACGTACTGGGACTTAAAGACTGCTTCGCGAGCTCTGTTCGTCCACGCCAAGCGCTCATAGGCATAGAGGCCTGCATAAAGCCCTCCCAATATCATTATCATACGCCAGCCTGTCGCTTTTAGTACCTACATTGAGAGAAGAAAGCCCTTTACAATGGTCTTCGATGCAATCTTATTGGAATTCGAGGGGAAAATCAAAACTATAGCCATGGATTCAGACAAGCTCAGTATTTTTTTTGCTCTTTCAATTTGTTTTCACGCTTTAAACAACAACCAAGATTACTTAGACACAATATTATACGACTCAACATGACGGCAGCCCAAACCTCCTAAGGTTTCCATCTTCTCAACCAATTTCTAAGTATTCTAGAAATTTGGGCTCTTGTTCAGTTTTTTTGAATGACCAAGGCCAGTAAAGCATCACAAATGCTCATAACTATGCTAACGGTGATTCCTGAGTTCGTCATAGGGACGATGGGATAGATGCTCACAACCAAATGCTCCGTTATCTCCAATAAATTACGGTCTATCGAGGAGTGAAGTTTGGTGATATTGAAGTTATCTGAAAATGCCTCAAAGTATGAAATGAATGAAAACAAAGTACGTACAATTCCACCAACCACAAGTAGTCCAACAGTGTTTCGGGAGAGTAGAGCTGGAAGGGAGGAAAGGAAAAGTGGTAGCACCGGGGAATACTCCGGCATCCCCTGCGACCCGGTCTAAAAAGGATGACTAAGTAAGACTGGCAATCAGTACCCACCAACTCCTGCACTTTGTTTGGTACTCAAAATGAATGCCACCGTGGCGGCGCTATCCATATCAATAAGGCTGCACGTGTGTCTTAGCACTACTCATAATAACCAGCACATGCAGTAGACCAGTTTGGGCAGTCGAAGTAGATGCAGTGACTTGTCGATGCGTTCAGCTAATCGAGAGTGAGGAACTTGGGCATGAAAAGCTTTTCACAAGGATTCTAATAAAGAAGGTTTTTCAGTGAGAAAGCTTTCTCGATGTCAATTCGTTGTGAAAACGTTAGAAACAAACCTTTACACGGAAATGGATATCTGAAAGGCCAGCTCAGATGCCAGATGTTCACAATTGACGACAAAGTGAACCAAGCACTAACGAATCGTTTCAAACGAAGTTCTAAATAACCCGTTCGGGTTAATGCTTTGTAAGCTTACGAGCCAAAACAGATGAGACACTTACGTAGCGACCTGCCCACACATTGGTAGTAGAGCCAGAATAAAACCCGCTACGGCGTTGACGGAGCAGCCGCTCGGCTAGAGAAGAGAGACCAAGGGAGAAACGGAACCGCAAGTCTTCCCTGAACTCTGCACAGATATTGCGACAGTCAACATGGAACTCCGGCTCAAAGGAACTTGAGAGAACACTCTGCATTATTCTACCCTTTGCCGACTCGTCCGCCTCCACCAGGTTCGTGTAAATGTCTGACAACACAGAATTGAGGGTTCAAAATGGCCTGACATCCTGCTCTTACTTTTCGGCTGATGACAACTTTGATCATGAGTATTCACGGATTTGTCCCTCAAAACGGTGCCAAAAAGTAGTTGGAGAATACAAACTCTGGATTTCGATATCCAATGGCTATGAAACTTTTTGACTAAAAGGACTTATCAGCAATATTTCGGTATTTCGATTGTGTACTGCTAAACTTTTGAAAATTATTCAATGGTTTTGGATCCATAATTGATGTAGAACTCCATGCTGACGAAGTCTCCTATCCTGTCCTTTCGAGGGACGATGTTAATAAAACTCCACCTAGCTATAACCATCGAACCTCAAGGTAAATACAACAAGCAGACCTACTAAAATCGATTTCGAAGGCTGTGTTGCTACGACGACAAGTCATTTCTTATTCCATTATTCTACCTTACGATGTATTTTATATAATCTGATCGACTTTGGGATTAATGCCTCAGCAAAGTAATATTTGTGACATCATTCAAGAGACGGTAGTTAGATGGCAGGGTATATTTCCACCATGGCGTCGACCTACTAACAATCACCCGAACAGGATGGCGAACACCGGATGGATCCGGCCGATACTTACTAGCCATAATCTGCTCAGCGCGCACCACCTGTGAATGGATGTCACCGGCGCAAGCATCGGCCAGTTTTTTGCCCAATTCACGTTCAATGTAGGCATTGAGCTCGTGACGATACGCGCGCATCGTCGTTTCATTGTCTGCCGCGAAAATGTGCCCGCTGAAGCTGTCCACTAGTTCGCCAAGTCGCCTAATTTCGTTGCAAAGCGCATTGGCCACCTGAGCCTCCACGTCTAGCAGGCATTTGGCGATGAGGTCGTTGATGGACCTGGCAGCATTCTGCAGCTTCTTGTGTAACTCCTCCAGCCGCGCCTGTGAGAGACGTCGATATCGGATGCCCGCGTCCCTTTTTAGGGTTAAAATCAGCATTTAAATTAGGGAAGACCATTAACGCACCCGCTTACGTCGCTCGCTTTTAACTTTTTGAGGATGATAATGTAGACTTCCGTTTTAGTATAAATTGGGGGCAACATCAATGAGTCTACAAGGTATTGGTCGATATTTTGCCAAACGTATCAGATGGTGAATGCCAACTCGGGAGGTCCACAATATGCTTTCTCCTAATATTTGAGTAAACGGCTATGAAGAACAGTATGCAACACCAAACCTAATGCGGATGTTACAAGAATGAGACTGTACACTACTCAGCCCCACAATACAAAAGCGAACAGATATTCCAGGATCCCTAAACAAGTAGTACGCTTTCATTGGTTCTCCAACTCGGATCAGTAACACTAGATCCAATCAATACAATGGTTAAAATACGACTCCCAGAAACGAGTTTAGGTGGAAGGAAAAGCCGAATAGTGAGCAGCCATTTTTAAGAAAGAAGAGGAAAAAGCATCCGTAAAACCCCAAAACATATTTTAGCACTGACGATAGGATATTCACACCCACTAGCACCAAGCAGCACCAACACATCCAATGACACTTATGGTCACCGATCAGGCAATAAAGTGATACCACATGAGTTAGAAAGCGGTTGAATGAAACCATATTAGTCCAATGTATATGTTGAAATAACATGCGAACATGCGGCACAAGCGGTGAAGCAAGAACTTTCGCTTCAGACAAAACCACACGACAGCAAAGTTGCAAAGATAAAAGCTGCTCTTAACATTTGAGCATCATGCAAAAGCAAATCTCATCAATGAACAAGAAGTAGGAATTATACAATAATGGACAAAAAATGGAAAATGAATGCACTGCAAGTGGAACATGTATAAGAAGACAATCTTTTCACTTGAAATCAAATTGTACAAACATAATTCCCAAGCAGAACCAAGTATGGAGAGAGCCACATATGTGCAGCCTCAAATGCCTGCCTGAATGAACCACAGAAAACGTCAAATGATGTAAATGGACAAAAAAATAGCATAAATACATAAAGCTGGAGTGACGTACTTCTCCTCCAAAGCAGCCTCGTAGGTTGCCTCCATGAGGTGGCGGAAGTAGGCAGCTAATTCTTTCCCCTGCTCTGCGTGGGAGGCAAACTTGGTGCGAGTGGCCGAGTCGGAGAGGATTTTCTGGAAGAAAACACATCGACCGATTACTTGTTCGCAACACTAATGAAAGCAGAGTTTAAGTTAGCTCAAATTGGTTTTGGGTAATTAATCAGGGGAACGAAGACATCGAAGATACATTTCGCATAAGAAAAGTTCCAGTTACGATCAGTCATTGGATTGCTTTGCAAGGAAAAATAAGGAGCAAAAAAACCGCAGATGGACTAGAGTTTCAACTAGAGGGTTACTGAGGTACCAAGGAGAAAAACATGAAGACAC